ACTGGATATGCTTCGTGGTAATCATGTCATTGAGTTTTGTGGGACTGGCGTTGTTTGGTGTAGCAAGTGGGACGTTGGAGGGGAAGCCGATCTATCGCAGCTTCACGCAGACTATGGTAGATGCAGGGAGAGGCAAGTGGAAAGCGAGAAGAGAGAGGAAAGATCGCTAAATGGGCGTGTATCATATCGGAGCTCGGAGTATCATTATTAGTGTCCACTTGTAATATAAGGATGTCTCAGCCTATGCATTTGCCTAATCTTCAACGTGGGAGGGTAATGAGATTGCACTCGTAGTGGTTAAATTCGAAGAGCTTTTATTAGACCAGCACCGCCAGGGTGAACTGTGCACTCTTGTTGAAGGTCTTCGCAAACTGAAGCAATTGATGATGTTGTTATTCCCCCAACAAGTCGAGACTGCATGAAATCTCATTGGGGGCAAAGGAGTGGAGGCAGACGCGGTTGCTACAATAAATTACATCACTTTGGTACCTGGAGTACTCCGTATCCTTGCCGCGCTAAGTTCGCATTCGCAAAGCTCATTACCTAGGTACCTTAGACTCTATTAGGATAGCCAAATAATGTCATGATGTCAGTGTAATTAAATCACCTGGGATCGAGGGCTGCCATACGCCGCTGGGTGCTGTTGGAATAATCATTGCGCACATCTCTTCGCCGTTCGAACCAGCTTATCATTCTTTCACGGGGAAAGAGGAAGATCATTGATCATTGCATGGCCCAGAGAATGGTGTTGCAGCAGTCGTATTCGCGATCTCGGAGGTGATCCCGTTGCTAAGGGTGAGATATCCGTAAAGTGTGGGTTAGTGTACATGTACTTACTAAGGTAGTGCTTACAGCAGTTAGCGCTAGATCCTAGCCTCCCTTGTAGTGGTGGTGCTCCGGGGAAGAAGATCGACCTTTCTTCTCCTAACCGAGGATACTAGATATGTCTTCCTGCTTACATGTACGGATACAGTGTTTCATGCGTTCGAGACAGCTATTGACTTGACCAGCTGCAACGGGTCTCTTTGTGTTGTCTCGCCAACAATTTTGAAGCAGCCATGATTGAATCATGACCTTGGTGACCTACTTTACTTTAGTCTAATCCGCGTACCAGAGTGACGTTAAGATCTGTTGAATGAAACGCGGCAAAGCGCGCTACTTCCTTAGTGTGCATAGCTGGTTCATAAAGTAGCAATTTGGATCCTAGGATGGCAAATTGTGCCGCCTGTAAATAACAATTGCCTCTATTATTCTTCCTCTCCTTTCAACACTGCTCTTCAATCACTGTTCATCAATCTGGTGAATCACTGTTCATCAACGACTGCTCTTTCCCCCATCAATATCCGTTCATCATCCACTGCTCCTTTCCCACTTGCATATCTTGTTTAGACTCTCGCTAGTAAGTGCTTGTGGCCCGCCGCCATCACTACTTCTTCACCTCAACATCTCCACTTCCGCCCATCGTACACATTCTATTAGAAACCACCGACCCCCTCTTCCACACGTTGCATCCTCTGACACACAATTCACAGTCAGCATATTAGCATCTTCGACTCACCACAAGTAATCAGACATGCACTCCGCTATTGCCCTTGCTGCCCTCTCGGGCCTCGCTCTCGTCAATGCCCAAGTTCCAGGGGCGACTACCATTGAAGGTTCACCCACATACGATGGACTCCCTGTTCCCGGCACAACAGGTAAACTTGGAAACGCTGCCATCACCCAACACAACCCACAGTGCGTGACCTACAACGCCACCCTTCCCAGCACCGGCAGCATTCAAGGCTACGTTGCGGCGACGGCTAATGCAAATGGTACCGGGTACGTACATTTTGGAGCTGATGCTTCCTGTATGGTATTGAAATCGAGTCGCAAGACATGCTTTGGGAGCGAGAGGACCTTTCTACTCCCGAGACCTGTCTTGGGACTCCATCACCTATCTCAACCAAGCAATGCTAACTCGGGAATCTGCGTAGTGTATTCTTCAACGTCTTTCTTACTGGCCTCCCCAGCGAGTCTCTTGGCCCGTTCTGTAGGTTACTGCTATGATGCCTACACTCGTGTCATCAGTTGTCTGATTTAGCTGCGCAGTGTACCATATTCACGATCAGCCAGTGCCGGCCGATGGTAATTGCACCGCAACGGAGGCTCATCTTGATCCTTACATCCGTGGCGAGATCCCTCCGTGTGACAACACCCAACCGGAAACCTGCCAGGTTGGAGATCTCACCGGCAAGCACGGCAACGTCACCATAAGCCCATTCGCGGCTCAGTAAGTGCTCCTGGTCCCAAGGTGTTTGTCTACTATCGGTACGCTGACGAGCTTTTCCTTAGATACTCTGACCTTTACGTTTCGACCCAGGCCGGTCTTGGAAGCTTCCTTGGCAACCGCTCCATTAACATTCACAGCGCCAACACTACCCGCCTTGCCTGCGCCAACTTTGAGCTTGTCAGCAGCTCTTGCAACAGCTCCACCTCAGGCTCCAACTCGACTACATCGACCACTGCCCCGAAGCCATTCCTTGGTAGTGCCAGCACCACATTTGTCAGCATCGGTGCCGTTGCTGCTGGTCTCGTCGCGTTCTTGTTGTAAGCCTGGCTAACTCGGCACCCAAGCCGGCACTGCGGGCCAATGAGCTAATCTGCCTACATCCCTTTTCTGCGCGGCACCTGATTGTCAGTATTGTACTCTAGTAAAAGCGAGCATGAGCTCCAGACATGGTCATGACGAGCATGACGGTAATGGCACGGGTTGGAGAAAGAATGAATTGAAGAATTGCATTGTATAATTCTTATCTTTGACTGCATGTCACCATGTCAACTTTGACGGTATAATTGAAAGGAAACTTGTAGATATGTTGGTAGTTAAAAAGACAGAAACAATAAAATTTTCACGGTTGCCTGGATCGTTCGTTCTTGACACATCTTTAGAAAGAGAAGGCGAATATATAAGAAGGAAAGATAGGCCAGGGACGACTCACATCTTGAATAATCTTAGTTGCCTACTCTGATCTCAGTCTTCTATCTCCAATTCCTGTGAGTGTACTGCGAACTGGCTGCTTTGACAATTCACGTGACGAGGGATCGACCTAGCTGCCGGGGTAAAACCCAAAAACTTTCACTGGTGGCCTCAGCGACGATACATATCCACCAACCCCATCCGACATCTTGACCACACACCACACACTGAGGATACCTTATACAGTAAGACATTCCACAATTTCATCCGCCATCTCTCTCCTCAGTGGCCAAGCTACATCAACATCTGCTGGCAATCAAAGCTGGGCAAGCTCTACTTTTGTGCGCCTGGCTTGCTGACGTCCAACGCTCCCTCATTCTCAGCTCTTCCGTTGCCCCATCTTTGTTCCAAGCCCGCCCCTCTTTGTTAATGCTTCTCTTGGCAGGTCCATTCGTGTAACATCGACACCCTCTCGCGGAAGACCCTTTCCACAACCTCCCAAATCCTACACACACCCGCCAACATGGGTCTCACGTTTTCGAAGCTGTTCGATAAGCTCTGGGGAAAGAAGGAGATGCGAATCTTGATGGTCGGACTCGACGCTGCCGGAAAGACGACGATCCTGTACAAGCTGAAACTAGGTGAAATCGTTACCACCATCCCCACAATCGGTTAGTGAGGCTCCAATGCCGGCCAGCTCCTAGCGACACCAGCCAAGCTGACCCTCCCTTCCTTAGGCTTCAACGTTGAAACCGTCGAGTACAAAAACATCCAGTTCACTGTGTGGGATGTGGGAGGACAGGACAAGATTCGACCCCTGTGGAGGCATTACTTCCAGAATACTCAAGGTATCATCTTCGTCGTTGATAGCAACGATCGCGATCGTGTCGTGGAAGCCCGTGAAGAGTTGCAGCGTATGTTGAACGAGGATGAGTTGAGGGATGCTTTGCTTCTGGTCTTCGCAAACAAGCAGGATTTGCCGGCATGTTTAAAGGATTCGGCCGATTCTCAGGTCTTTTTGCTAATATAAATGCAGAACGCCATGAACGCTGCTGAAATTACCGACAAGCTTGGCCTACACTCTTTGAGACAGCGCGCATGGGTAAGCCTTCGTGCTCCTTACGACTCTACGACATGTCTGCTAACACAATGCATAGTACATCCAATCGACTTGTGCTACTTCTGGCGATGGTCTCTACGAAGGACTGGAATGGTTGAGCAACTCACTCCGAAAGGCTGGGCACAACTAGGACGAGCATCCCGGGTCTTCCTTGTGTCCGCATCTACACAGCACGCCCATCCTTCTTGTCGTCCGCCTCTCATGGGTGTCTTATGGTCTCCAAACATCGTCAATTGAAGCGCTGCAGGTACCGTCTAGCATAGAGCATGGGTGGTAGTGCGTGAATGCTATAGTGCCCCTGATAGTCTAGCTTCTTTTCCTTACCTGCTCGTGCTGGCCTCTTTCTCAAAATTATGTGGAATGATGGGTGTTTCGTGCAACGGTAGATTTGTACTCGGGGAGATTGTGGATTCGAAAACATGACATTAACCTCATGATTCAAGTGCAGCTGCCTATGAAAGGATAGTGAACGTAGAGTAGTAAGAACGCTGCAGTCTGGAACTGGGGTTAATTGTGAAGAAGCAGAGCAATTTCTTGAAATAGGGGAATGAGAGACCAAGCAGATGACTACTTTAAAATCACCAAAACGCGCATCATGGTTTGCGGCTATGACTTCTTCGTCCGCTTTTGATGGTGTTAAGCATTGCTTCTACATAACACGTTAACATGGAAACGACTTTAGAGATCAGGCAAACGCAAACACAACAAGCAAGCGACACATTTCTTGGGGCTCTCCGGCGAACGACTCAGATAAATCCGTTCCATATCCTCAAGAATGCTTTGTGTTACACTTTCTCACCCTCTAGATAAAAGAAGTAGATTGCGACATGTTCACGCTCAATATCTTCGTACTCATTAACCCGTCTTTTGACTTCTCTTACTCGCTCGAAATTGTATAAGTGGATAAGCTCAGCTACAATTATGCCTACTACACGTGTTACACTTGCTTCGAATTCCAATCAGTCGCAAAAGACTCCTCTTCTCATTCCTGATTCTGCATCTCTTGATCCGAATGCTTCCCCCTCCTGCTACTCTCTTGTCATCAAGACTGCCCAATCAAAGCTAAGATTGAGAAAGGCCCAAAGGGTTTTCGTCCATGGAGGTCAGGAGCTGACCAGGCAGAAAGACTGGGAGCATTTACTGGAAGATGATGTTGTTCTACTTGTGTCTGTCGGGGAAGAGTACGTAGGCTGGGGTTAGGAGGATGACCACTTGAACGGTGGGAAAGAAGGCAGTGTGCTCACACAGCCGCGAACCCAAAATGCTCGATTGGGATTCTTGCCGGAGATGCTTACGTCGATTCGCTATTGATCACTCAGCTTGAGACTACAGCGCGGACCCTGCCCGGTATGGTTCATGCAACGGCCCAGCCAGACCTTCACCCTGGCACCATGTATCCCATCCGGGCAGTTTTTGTATCCCAGGAATGGATATACCCCCCTCTCATTGGCGGTGATATTGGATGCGGAATGGCTTGGTTCAAGACTCGGTCGTCCAGGTCCCAGGTGGAAGGAGACAAAGGCAGAAAGATTGCCGAGAACCTACGAGGTCTTGAGGGTGTTTGGCGTACCCAGAAAGCCAGAGAGACCTGGCTCGGGCACGCCGAGGTGACGGCCAGTTACAGCGCTGGTGAAGAATGGGATGCTGCACTTGGTACCATTGGGGCCGGAAACCATTTCGCTGAGCTTCAGGTTGTTGAAGATTCAGTTATGTGCAAACCTACGAGCGCGACAGAAGCCTCTCAACATGAACTGCATGAGGTGAGATTATCCTTCTAGTCCACTCTGGCTCGCGAGGCTACGGATCGGATATCCTCAAGCAGTATACTAAAGACGGCCGTGAAAGCATACAAGAAGTTGACACCACGGCTAAAACTTACCTCGAAGCACACGACCGTGCTTGCAATTGGGCGCGAAGGAATCGATAGCTGATAGCACTCCGCTTCCTTGCCCGCTTGAAACCAGGAGAAACGGGCTGGGACCTAGGCACGAACGATTTAAGTCCGACACTCACATCTCAGCCAGTGATATCCGCGCAGCCAGGTTGGCCGTCCAAGCCAGGAAGGTTGTCGACATATACCACAACAACGTACAAGTCACAACAACATGGCCTCCCTCCCTCAAGCCAGATGAGAACAATGGTGAATTCTCATCCAGATTGGCAGACTTATGGATCGAGGCGCCCCAGAAATACTACATACACCGCAAAGGCGCCGCACCCACCCACGATCCCCTAACATACATTCCTCTCGTACGTATTTCGGAGTCCGCAGTCTCTTATTTAGACAAAATCCTAAGTCTTGAGACATGTATCATGTTGGGAGTTTCTACTCTCGAAATATGTTTCAAGGCTTAAAAATGCCCTCTCCGATAAGCAATACTGACATCGAAATTGTAATAAAGTCAATCCTCCCTCTACCAGGATCTCGCGCCACCCCAACACTCATCCTTCATCCCACCTTCTCAGCCACCAACGCCCACGGCAAAACTAATGCCCTAAGTCTCGCCCACGGAGCCGGACGGGCCCTCTCTCGTGCCAAAGCAGCCTCCTACATTGCGGAAAAGTATGCTGGCAAGACGGAGGACCTCCTCAGGGGTGACTTTGTCAAGGCAGACAAACGCGGCAACAAGCTCTTCGGAGGAGATAATGCTGGAGGGAGGAATGTCCATGGAGCCTGCTGGGTTGTGTGTGAGGAGAAGCAGCTTGTTTGGGAGGAAGCCCCTGAAGCGTATAAGGACCTTTGGGATGTGGGAGAGGATCTGTTGAAGAAGGGATGCGCGGAGAGGTTGGGATGGTGTAGGGGGAGAGTGAGCTACAAGGTCAGGAAGGAGTAGTGGAAAGACTGATTGGAGGCTGCATTCATGAGATGGATGATGGGAATGGTTTTGAATGAAGGTGACTCGTTGAAAGCGCGTGAAGAGCCTTTGTTTGTAGGGGCGTATGGCTATCAGGCCGTATTGTATCTAGACGGTCAGCCATTGAAGCGATGTTGAAGCAGTCAATCGATGTCATTCTGGATAAAGCTATGCTCAGAATGGGTGAGAAGACATGTAAGATGTGCGAAGAAATGGCCAGAGGGGAGTATGCTTTCTTATGTTACCATGTGGCATGGCTTGAAATACCAAAAAAGCACGCTACTGCTGAGAAACAAAGAGGGGTATATCCGCCTATAAACAAGAAGTACGTTCAATCTGATGCGAAGTGAAAGCATCTTTCTGGTATCTTTGAAGCCCGCATCGCAATGCAGGATTCACCAATCCTTCAACAAATGAAATGTTTATCAAGTTCTTTCACATCCCTCCAACAGTGCCTCCTAGATTTGGACCAAATGGCTCTTCATCCCCAGCGACCATCTTGTTCTCAACTGCTACGTCGCCAAACGGATTGCCTTCGCTTGCGTCCAAATCGTAGCTGCCCTTGCGCATCAGCGGCGGCGTCATAGGATTCTGCTGCGACTGACGCCTTAGTGGTCTGTCTGGCTCTTCTTGACGTGGCAAGCTCTGCTTCGGTGTCGTAGGTGCTCCGACTGACCGTTTCGATGGGGAGGGATATACTCTCGAGTCACCGAATGAAGGAGTTGTTCGCATCTCCGTGCTCGGCGACGTCATCAGGCCAGCAAAAAAGCTCTGAGGAGAAGATTTTGAGAGAGTCTGACTTGCGGGAAGACTGAAGGCCGAATCCCGCCCCTTGCGCCAATTTCCCCAGGCGGCCGCAGCAGCTAGCGGGAGTGCTTTGGGTGATGCTGCAATGGTGGAGATGCGGGCAAGGGATGGGAAGGAGGCGAGTGCGCGCTCCTTCTCCTGTTGTTCCATCTGTAAGTTCGCTTTTAGGCGAGTAGCCGCGTCTTTGACAGATTCAGGATTGTAGGATGGTTGGGAGACGGTAGCGATCAAATCATCGAGATCTTCGATACGAATCCCAAGAAGTTCACGCAACCAAGTGATCTCGATTTGGGCATCTCTTAATTTCTCTGGGGCATTACTATCAACGGAGGACAACTGATATTCGAGCTGCTCGATCCGGTTTTCGCGTTCTTGTAGCTGTTCTTGTAGGACAAGGATGGATTCGCGTAGAGCCTGAGGCGAGGTTTTCTCGGGTAGGGGCTCCCGGTCGGAGGCCTTGGCGATAGGTAGAGACGTGCGAGATGAGGACGGACCCAAAACTGCTTTCTTCGATTGAGCGGCTTGCACTGCTGCATGGGCAGCAGACTTGGCAATTTGCAGCTTCTCTTCGAGATGACTGACTCTGTCCTGGTAGTGGACCACTTTTGCGTCTGCTAAACTCAGTTGATTTCCGAAATAAGTCTCTGATCGTTGTTTGTCTTCGAGGGCGTTGTTCAATATACGCTCATGCTGCGCTTTCATTTCTTTGACGCTTCTTTCATAAAAGTGGGCAGCTTCTCCAAGAGCCTTGCTCCGTGAGTCAGTTGCTTCCTTGAGCATCAGCTCGTAACGGGATCTGGACCTATCTGCATCCGTTGTGACGAGGTCAATCTGTGGACGGAGTCTGGTGATAACACTCTGATAATCGTGGCATTCGGACCTAAGCTCGGCCAACAGGCTTTGCAGATGGGCATTGGCCTTTTGCGTTTGCTCAACCATGGATCGGGTCTTGATAACCTCTGACTCTTGCGCCTCGATTCTCTCAATATCAAGTTCAAGCCTTTCCCTTGTTCGAGCTTCAGTTTCAAGCCTTGCATGCAATATCTCCAGCCTAGCCTGGTGCTCTTCCTCCTTGCTACGCCACCTCAAATGATCCGACGCAACGTTGCGAGAATTTGTGGCAATTTCTCCTTGCAAGTGATCAACTTTGGCCCGTAGTGCCCGGCGACCTTGCCCATTTTCTTCGATCTCAGCATTCAAAGAACTGATGGTTCTCCTGAGGTCTTTATTCTCATGCTTCGCATCGCTAATTTCCGACCTCCACTGGTCGCTCGACAAGCGGTATTCAGATAATGTCTCCTCCAGGACTAAATTCTTTTCGGACAGATCCGAAGCGGTCTTCTGCAGACTTTCCTCTGAACCCTCCAGCATGGCGGTACGCTGGAGAGTCTGTTGCCGATTCGCATGAAAATCTCGAAGGCTTCGCTCCGTTGCTTCTGCTGATTCACGTTGTTCGGAAGCTTCTTGAAGTGCTATCCGAAGGAGTCTTGCCTTGTCAGCTAGCTCGTCCTCAACAGATCTGCGAGCTTGCATTTCGTCATTCGCACGAGTGTCCGCTATTTTGAGCATGCTCTCGAGGCCTGCTATCTGAAGTTGGCTTTTTTCAGCTGCCGCCGCTTGTGAGCTGGACGTGACTGGTGCTGATCTGCCGCGCATCTGTCTACCGACAGCTTCCTCCACAATGTTCTTGATTTCGCCCGATAACGGTGGAGGAGATATGTCCTCATGTATGGACGCTTTCAAACCTTTGACAGCGGCCATCATTTCTGCCAGCTGACTGGCTGGTGCCAGGCTCTGCTGAGCAGCTGTGATCTCGGTAAGGGAAGCCTTGAGCTGCTCGAACTTTCGATCTCTTAGAGGTGACTTGAGCCTTGACTGTGACACTTCACCAACATCATCTTCATCATCCGCGTCACTATGCTCAATCTCGAGACCGCCTGAGCTGCGTGGTCTCCTACTCGCTGACCTACCAGACAGTTGGGCCAATGACTGTTGGATGCCGGACAATGCCTGCTCTAAAGGTTTCAGTTCCCTCTGGACAATGGTTTCCATTACCTCGGTGACAGAATTATTCATGGTAGTCTTTGAGCGGAAGTTGTCCTCATTCAGAGAGGATATCGCATCGTCCAAATCACTAGGAGGCGTACTACCAGGGCTGTGCAATGGATGTATTGGAGGCGAAGTCTTTGATGGTCTGTAAGAAGGGCTGTATCGAGCAGAGCGAGCTACCATTTCAACAAGAGAAGGATTAGCACTCTCTGAATCCGTTGGGGGTAGGTATTGATAATTTCCTTGCAACCTGTTTGGACTCGGCGAAGGAGCATCACTTCTAATGTCGGCGGGAGGTAGCAGCTGATGCGGTGTTAACGAGTCATGGAGCTTCGGGCCAGTGTATCGTATCGGGCTTGCGCTTGGACTTCGACCTCTCAATGGACTAGGCTGTCGCTCAACGCCCAGGTCCGAATCCTCTCTATTGAGGTGCTTCATAACGGCATCAAGCTCATTATATGACGGCTCGACATATCTCACGCCGTTCATGATAATTGCATGCGTGCCTCGGCCAGCATGGTCTATACGATCAACTGAGTCTTCAGCTCCCCCCTGAGGCTTACGCTCATATCTTTTCCCTCCATCTTTGGTTGAGGAACAGGAAGAAGATCTTGAGCTAGAGGTACGATGTCCTAAAACCCGATTGAATTCAGTCCCGAATTGTGCAGATTCACCAAGGAAATCCCGCGTTGCTCTAGCGACCTACACAGAATTTGGAGTCAGCATCTTTTCTTCAAGGCAAAGCCCTGAACAATGTAACGATGCAAAGGGGTGTAGAAGCCCTTTGCTCCCGGAACACATCTTGCGACTCAAGTAGCGGTCCGGCACAGGGGATTTAAGTTTCCAACTTTACATACCTCGTGAGGATTCGGTGGACGTGCCGCGTTGAAGCTCGCTGCTTCCCCAAGGTCATTGAAAATATAGTCTTCTCTCTTTTCCCCATCCTCATCGACAGATTCTTCTCGCATTAGATCTGAAGCTTCGGTCGCGGATAATTCGTCGATGAGTCCTTCGAGTAAATCTGTAGCTGCATCCAGGGTAGTGGCATCTACTGCTTTGCTTTCTGGTGACGGCGTCCTACTAAAACAGGCGGCTCGATTCTCACTGCCCCAATCCTCACTGCCCCGATCCATCCAATGGGCTTTTCTCTCTGACAATGCAAAAAGAGTTACTTGATCACCGTCGTCACGCTCACGCCTGGAAGATTTCAGAGTCAGCATGCCGTTCCCAAGACATGACTAGGGAGTGCAACGGGAGGGGAAAGCCTTTGAAACAGAGAGTCAAGTTGTGAGACATATTAAATAGCAGATAATGCGGGCGTGTGGTAGAAGCTGTGTAGTCGAAGCTCATTTCTTTCACACAAAGTCGAATCGTAAGACAGGTTTGGGTAGCACAGCGAGACTAAGCCCCTTTCCCGCCCTCGAAACACGTTTTGTAACTCAGACTGAAGTCCCGAATATGGAGGGAAATCTCCGCATCAACGTACCTCATTCTCTTCTGTCGACCATCAGCTTGGGTTATACGGCCCGATTCGTCTTCCTGACCATCCATATCTCCATCATATTTCTTCTGCCTCTCTGAATCTTTGTTAGGTTTAGTGATTGGTATAGCCTTCGACTTTGGGGGTCTGATGACCTCAGAAAAGTTGATGTCGCCAAAAATTTTCTTCACGGGCTGGACGGCATTCTGTCCGCTGGCCGGTTTAGGACCAAATGTACTTCCGCCATCACTGGGTGAAAAAGCCGGAGCGTCAGGCCTGAATGAAGGGCGCGAAGCCGAAAAGCTGAACTCTCTGGAAGGAAGGGTTGCCATTACTGAAGAGTTTGGCATGAACGTAGGCGCTGCGACATTCCATTTGCTAGGGAGGGAGGCTCCACTGGGAGCTTGCATGGCCCCGTCAGAGCTAGGAAAGCTCAGAGATGGGGTCTCGATTAACGCGCGAGCTTGCTTATCACCCAAATATGAGAGAGTTCCAGAACTTTTCGAAACTCCGGGTTCAAACTTGGGCGCATTGACGTTTAATTGAGAAACTTTAGATGGATATCTGCTTTGAGACTGTCCAGGGTCATTGGTCTCATGGTCTGGAATCCCTCTAACACTCAGACTTGCATCCAAGACAGACC